CCAGGGCAGGGACCTCTCCTGGTCACACTTCACCTGTATGCAGGTGAGCCCAGGGCAGGGACCTCTCCTGGACACACCTCACCTGCATGCAGGTGAGCCCCAGAGTAGGGACCTCTCCTGGTCACACCTCACCCCTGCATGCAGGTGAGCCCCAGGGCAGGGACCTCTCCTGGTCACACCTCACCTGCATGCAGGTGAGCCCCAGAGCAGGGACTGCACGGGCCTGAAGCTAACACAGCGTGGAGGGCTTCCCAGGTGTCTCAGGACGGGCAGGTAAGTGCCTGACCTCGTGGGTCTCCCCCACTGGAACGTGAGCACCGAGGAGCAGGATCCCCTCACTGCCCAGTCCCTGGTGTCTGGAACCTGGTGGGAGACGGAAGACGGGCCGAAGCTTTCGCCGGTTTCTTTAGAAAGAGCAATGCGCAAGGCAAGATGGAGGAAGAGAGACCAAGGGCCGCCCGGCCTCTCTGTGGACTCCCGAGGCCAGGCACTGTCGCCAGCTGGCTCTGCAGGTGCTTTCTGAGTGTAGAGGCCAGGTGGAGAGTCACAGAACAACTGCCCTGGGATCAGTGACGCCAGGCATCGTGTCCACTGGGACTGGCCAGCCAGTGGTCCCCCCTTGGGGGGCTGAAGTGGGACCTCAGTGCTGCTCCAGCACTTGCCTCATGTCTCCTGGTCCTGAGGCCTGGCTCGGAGTCTTCCTGTCAGAACGACCTGTGGGGGGAGCAGCCCTGGCACCGGCTGGCACGCTGCTCGGGCATGCTGCTCAGCAGCTCCGCAAATTACTGCTTTGGTCTGTCACCCTCTGTCCCGCCTCTTCGTCTCTGGGATGCGGGGGATGAGTCACTGTGCAATTCCTGTGCCGCCCTCTTCTGTCCAGGTGACCTTCGCTGTGGCCGGCGAGGGACACGATTCTCTAGAGGTCACAGGGCGCTGTGGCAAGCCTTTTGTGTTCCGTCAGGAGCACTGTATTCAGGGGCTGTTACAAATGGGCCTGGAAACATCTGCTTCACTTACCGCGGCACAGCAGGCATGACAGAGAACACCAGTCCGTGACGCCTCAGGCTGGCACCTCGTCTGTGGTGGCACTGAGTGCGGGGTATGGCGAGGGAGCCAGAGCCCACTCCCCTTCTGCAGAGAGCCATGGCCCCTGAGGTTGGAGGAGAGCCCCTCGGCCAGGCACTGCCCTTCTCACACAGCTGCGGGCTTCTGGCCACTGGGTGGTGTGTGCTGCTTCTCGTGGGCTCTGGACATCGGCCCGGAGGAGCCTGCTCCAGGTGCCCGGCTGGTGGGCCCAGCTCCCCGGGCAGGCGCACAGGCAGTCCAGCCTCGCAGCCTGCAGTCAGGGGTGAGGGGGCCTCTCCATCCTCGCGCCCTGGAGGTGGTGACCGTGCAGCCCACACTGTGGGCCCAGCCCTTCCCCTGACTGCCTGCCTCCACGCTCAGCACGTGTCACCTTGACGCTGAGCCTCGGTGGGCCAGAGCCCTGCTCTTGCACCCTGAAGAAGCCTGGACCTAGGGTCTGTGGACTTGCACTGACGGGGTCTTCTTTTCCCTAAGTCAAGAGACAGCAGTGTCTAGAGACCTCAGCCTCATTTGCCAGGGAAGTCAGGCCTTGTCCTSGAGCAAAGGATGAACGAGTCGCCCTGCTTCCAAGGCACATTGGGGGAAGCTGCAGCTCAGCTTCAGCAGACGTCACTCGCAGCCCACGTCCCAAGCAACACAGGACCGGAGACCGGCGGCTGCCACCACGGGGCAGTCCCAGCTCCTTTCAGGTCAGAGGGGTCGATGCCACCCACCAACACCCRGGGCCACAGCTGCGGGTCCCCCAGTCCCCAGGGGACCACTCTCATCAAGGTGTTCTCATCCAAATGTGCAACTCCACGTTCTCCAGGACCAGGACCCAAGACGCAGCGCGTCCCTGAATGAGCCTGGGAGGGAGCCCCTGTGCCCCAAGGCGTGGGCCTCGGTCTCTGCTTCGTCCCTGCCATGACTTTGTTCTGTGTGAGCTGTCACTGGGAAGGGCCCCTCCTGGGCCATGTGGCCCTCAGACCTCAGAGCCTGGAGAGCTGGCAAACTCACGTTAGAGGTGGGTTTATTTCCAGTTTTTCTTCAGAAAAACTTGAGCAAGGTTCTGGCTGTGTTATGCGATTTTTGAATATTTGAAATGAAAACAGGAGTGTCTGGAAGGATCGGCACTGTCACGGCTGGACCTCCCTGTCCAGGAGAGGCCAAGTGCCGGTTAGCCGGTACGGTCCACTGATTCACCTGCTCCCACAGACTCCTCGGTGGCCAGCCCCAGCGTGGCCACGTCATTGCTGGTAACTTTAGGGAACAGTGTGTCTGTGCATTGAGTCCTGTTTGATTCACACTGTGTTTTGAGACTAACATTAATTAAAGCATCAAATCATCTTTAAACTCAGAGTCGTTTCTCCGGACTCGTTCTCTCATTAGACATTCACGACTTGATGACTTGATGGCTTTCATGCTACCCTCCCAAGTGTGGCTCTCATTCAACAGAGGAGTGAAGCTGGCCACTCGGAGCTCATTCTCTCTTGATGATGCCTTTGTGCTTTGAACCACAGAATGCTGATTTTCAAGTTTCCTTGTTGGCTTGCAAATGACTTTCAAGGACGGGATACAGACACGGTGTCCAGGACTCCAGGTGCAGATGGGCCAGCACATGTTCAGAGCAGTGGTGATCGACACTTGGGCTCACGTGAGGTCACGTGAAAGCCTGGGTGGGGGCCATCTGTGACGTTTTGTTCTGATTCACTTCCTCCCACACCAGACGCTGCTCCCTCGTCTCCCTCAGTGCCTTTGCTGACCCAACCCTCTGAAGACCCAAAGGAGTCCTATAGTCCCTTCTGCTTGCTGTGCATCATGCAGAGAACGAGCCGGGAATCCCTCATCAGTTCACAACAATTCCACGCAGGAGGGAAGCTGCAGTGGTCTTTCCAGTTTCAGGCTCTTTCTGTTTTACTGGAACTCGACCGCACCTGTGACCAGATGTGTCATGGGAGCCGCGGAGGACAGCGAGGACCAGGCCCACGTTTCAGGAAGGCCTGGCGAGGACCTTCCCCTCCTCTGACTCGCCTGCCAGTGTGGGGTCCTTGGCACCCTCCAAGGGAGCCCTGGTCCTGATGTCTGCCACGCCTTGTGCAGCTCAGCCCTGTGAAGACAGACAGCCACGCTGCGCTGCACTGTGCTCCTCAAACTGGCTCGGTCCCTGCCACCGTCGCTGCTGCGGGAATGTGAGGCTTCTCTGAGTCCCTTTTCCTGCTTGAGAGCGCCAGGGAGACGGACGGCGGGATCCGAGTGTGGCCGAAAGCACTGCCCACAGTCCTGCGTGCTTCCTGTGGATCCGTGGACCCACTTGGGTGGAGGGAGGCTGCAGACTCCCCTCCCACCCACAACCAGGACAGAGGAGCTGCGAGAAACGGCCCCGGCTGCCAGTACTGGCGCAGGAGGCCCCGTCCATGAGCTGTCCACACTGCCCACCGCTCCTCTGCTCATGTCCTCACAGCTCTGGGCCCTGCTGGACCTATACTCTGCAACACGGTTCAGAAAAACGTAGGCTGGGTGCAGGGACACACCACTGTAATCCAGCAGTGCTGGAGCCTGAGGCAGGAGAATCACAAGTTCAAGGCCAGCCTCGGCAACTTAGCAAGGCCCTAAACAACTTAGCAAAACCCTGTCTCAAAATAAGAAATAGAAAGGGCCGGGCATGTGGCTCGGGGTAGAGCACCTGGGTCAAACCCCTAATACCACAGAATAAACCAACCAACTTGATAAAAGGCAGCGTTTAAATGGCCCACCCTATGAGGAGGGTTAAGCGAGCTCACCAAGAGGCCTGATTAGGAGGGCAGGAGTCTCCAGAGGAGAGTCACAGGAGCCAAGAGCCGCGGAGTACCGTGCTCCGTCCCCTGCTCAGAAGCCCCGTGGCACCCTGAATGACACGGCCTGCCTGTTCCACAGCCTCAGCCCTGCTGAGGTGTGGCGCAGCGAGGTCCTCGTGTAGGGCTGGCCCATGACTCCTCTCCAGACATCACAGGTGTCCCCTGGGGGAGGAGGACAAGGCCCCGCTGAGCAGCACTGGTTCTCACGGCAGAAGTCTGGGAGCAGAGGACCCCGACTCCCTGCCGCTCCTCAGGTGCAGGGCTCCCTGCTCAGCCCGGACCTGCAGCACATCCCGAATGCCACAGAGGTGTGGCTCACTGCATGCATGATGACTAGGTGCTGGGCTGCGGCCCAGCCTCCTGCCCCTCTCTGCTACACCTGAAACCCCCTCGGGTTCCCGGGAGAGAGGACGGGACCAGGACCTCACTGAACCGTGGCCACGCCCAGCATCCCACCTGTGCCGACCTCTCCTCATGCACTCTGACCTCAGTCCCGTCTCTGCTGCTAGACTCGAGGTGTTTTTGCAGTTTTTCTCTTTACAGATACATGGTGCAGACTCTCTGCAGCATCGAGGGCTGTGCCCATAAATACGGAAGCCAAATGCTTTGCTTCCTGAGGCCAGGGGTCCAGACAGGCTGGCTCGGGTCGCGGCTGACGCGTGTGGAAGGTGCACAGCAGATGCCGACGGGCCGTGTGTGCCCTGACCGGGCTTCTTTCTCTTACAGCGGTCTCCTATACAAATTACAAGAAGACACCCCCTCCGGTGCCTCCTCGGACCACCTCCAAGCCCCTGATCTCCGTGACAGCCCAGAGCAGCACTGAGTCCACCCAAGACGCCTACCAGGACAGCCGTGCCCAGAGGATGTCCCCATGGCCCCAGGATGGCCCCAGCCTCTACAACTCCACGGACAGTTTGGACAGCAACAAGGCCATGAGTCTAGCCCTAGAAACGGCCGCGGCCCAGCGCCAGGCTGACAGCCAGGGCAGCTCTGTGCGGACCAGCGACAAGGCCATCCTGGTGTCCAAGGCTGAGGAGCTCCTCAAGAGCCGCTGCTCCTCCATCGGGGTCCAGGTAGGCTCCCTGCCAGCCCAGGCGCCTGGCCTAGAACAGGTGAGGGAGCCAGYTGCTGCGCGTCCTCGCGCTCACGCCACCCGCAGCTGGCAGCGGAGACGGAGGGCCCAGCTGCACTCCGGCTGCGAGCCTGCGAGTGGAGGATGGGYGGCCTGGCAGCAGAGCCGGCCCCAGGGAGACCCAGGAGACGGGCTCCACACTGCGCCCTCCCGGGGCCCCGAGTGGTGCGATGGCCAGGGTCACTGGACGGGTGGACAGTGTGGAGAGGAGGCCATCGTGGTGCGGAACCAGGGGGCTTCCTGCTTAGGTCCAGTTTTTCAAAAGCTGTTCATCTCCCAAAGGGTGCTGGAAAGGGGCAGCGGGGAGCCACCCAGGCGCAGCGCTGGGTGCCACGCAGGGCAGGTGTAACCAGGGTGCTCCCACAGGCGGCCACTCCTCTGCTGCACCCATGCACCCGCTCACGGGCGACCCACCCTGCATCTGGGCCCCGGGTCCTACCCAAGATCCCCACCCACCATGTGTGTCCTCTGAGTCCAGCGAGCTGGACTGTTGGCCTGGCCCAGTCAGCAAGTCTAGGTCATCTCAGTGCTGGCACTGGGTTCCAGGAGTTGGGGACATGGACTTCTCACTGTCCTGCTGATATCCCTCAGGGCCCCGTGGACATGGTCAAGCAGGGTGGCTGGCCACGTTCTCTGTGGCCCAGGCCACCTTCTGCTCCTCTGTTCAGCCTGTGTCCCGGGGGCTTTGAGACCAGGAGCGCACGGCCCTGCACCCTTTCCTGGGGAGGAGGTGTGTGGAGCTGGGAGTGAGGGCCCACCCCGCAGGGTGCCTGTGTGCGAGGCCTGGTGGGGACAGGCAGAGCGCAGGGGCCACTGGCCCACTGGCCTTGGTCCCCAGCCGGGTCTCCACACTGTGGCTTCGTTGTTTTGTTTAGGATTCTGAATTCCCAGAGCATCATCCATACCCAAGGTCAGATGTAAGTACCAAACATCTCCGACGCCCGGCACGCATGACTTCTCTCACCTCCCTCTCTGGGTCTTCATACGACTGCTCTTGTCACTCTGTCCTGGCCCTATGTGCCAGGCTCTCCGCTGGGTGCTCCACATGTATCCTCAAGGACGCCAGCCGGCCCACGTAAAGGGAAGGAGCAGGCGCTCGGCCGAGCCCCGGGCCTGGCCCTGGYCCAGGAGGGTGGAAGCAAGGCGCATTCCCCAACTCTCCAGTTCTGGGCACCTCATCATAGGGACTTGAGGTCCCCAGATCACCAGGGGATGGCCTGCTGCCCTGCGGGCTCTCTCTGGCTCTCTCACACAGTGTCCTCCAGTGCACCCACCACCCTGGCCAGGGGCTAGTTCCCCTCCTGACATGCAGCTCAACAGCCCCATCAGGAAATGAGGACGTGACCTCACGGGCCCACCCAGTCAGGTGGCCCCGACACCAGCCTGCCTCCTCCTGGGTCAGCTGGGTCCATGCCCACTCTGGCTCAGCAGCTGCTCCGCCTCCCACAGCTCAGCCCCCACCTGCAGCCTCTCACCACGGCCCTCCCAGACCAGAGTCCACGAAGGCTGGGCCCGTGCTCCTCCTCTTGCCCCCTCCCCGCACCCAGCACAGTGCCTGGCACATAGTGACCTCTCAGTGAATGCTGGACAGGTGAGTGGAGGGGCGTGTGGACGGCGAGTGCTGGGCAGGTGTGTGGACGGCGAGTGCTGGACAGCAAGTGGGGAGAGAGGTGTGAATGCAAGGACACGCTGGACGGCCAATCCCACTGTCTGTGGTGGTGAGACAGCAACAGCTGTGAGCTCCTAACCCGGCAACTGCCAACATGAAGTCCATGGAAGGTTAAAGGAAAGTGTAGCCAGAGACACGGAGCATCAGGACACAGAAAATAGCCAAGAGTTAGAGAAGCAGGACCAGGGAGCGCTCAGGGTCAGGGTGCAGACGTGGAGCGCGGGCACGTTCAGCAGGCTAAGGGTCATCCGCGGAGACTGATGGGCACCAGAGGGACTAGAGACAGTGTGGGCACGGCCCAGAGCATCCCCACTCCCTGGCACATGCTCCTCCATCATCACAGTGGCCCTGTGTTCCAGGATGGGGAAACCGAGGGTCCGGAGGGTGAGTGACTAGCCGAGGTGCCCCCCCCAGGAAAGAGCCACTCTGCTTCCCACAGAGACACGGATTGCACCACGTCCCTGGGCCATCCCACACCTTGGTCCCAAAGCCACCTGCCCTGCTCTGGAACCCTGAGCCTATAGAGAAGGGGGCTGGCACTCTGTCCGGCACGTAACTGGACTGGCCGCACGATCTGTGTCCCTCGGATGCTATGGTACTGAGAGCTCATGCCCTCAGCCTGGCACCGGCTCTAAAGTGACAGCTTCCCAGGTTCACAGGCATCACATGACACTCAGCAGCAGTGACGGATTCAGGACTTCAGCTGTGCCTCTGGGCTCCACCAGCGTGAAGTCCAGCTGGGTCCCACTCAGCCCACCCCCTGTCACCCTGTCCCCCTCCCTGCCCAGCTCAGACCAGACGTGAGCTGAAAGCCCCCATCGCTCAGGTAGCCGATGCCAGGCACAAGTCCACCCCAGGGACGTGCGAAGGCCGTTAGGCCAGACGCCCCTGGGAAAAGGCAGCTGAGCTCTGCTGCGCACAGATCAGTCCCCGTGAGGAACACTGAGCCGTGGTCAGTCCTGGAACCCAGGCTCGGGTGGCCCTGCTTTCCTTCCTTGAAGCAGGGCCCCTGCTCTGCCTTTGCCCTGCCTTGTTCGTCGTCCAGGTGTGTCTATGACAAAGGTTTGCACTTCTGTGTGTGGACGTGTGTGTGAAGCTGTGCCCAGACTTCCAGCTGGTAGAAGCACGCTGGTTTAAAGCACAGGAAACCTGGGGTCACACAAGCCCAAGTGAATCTCTACGTCAGCAAGGCATCACTCATACCCCACAGGCTATGAGAGTCAGGGAGCCACCCTGAAGCCACGTGACCAGCCAGGTTGAGTGTCCCACGAGATGGAGGACCCTGGGCTCCACCACCCTGTCCTCCCTGCGTCCCATGTCCCCATCCTGCAGCCTGATCAGTAGCTACTTGTGCTGTAGCCCAGGCACCTGGGGCAGAGAGCTGGAAAAGCACACTAAACGTTGGACTTCACATCAGTCTTCAGGGGATGGAATGAGCTCATATCAAAGCCACACACCTGCCTGGCAGAGTGGAAGACTTCAAGGGTGGAGCTAGACGGGCTGGTTGGGGAGCGACTCCAGATCTGAGCTCTGGTGAATGGCTCCAGCAGCCACCCACGTCTGCTCTCCCAGATCCCTGCAGAAAGCTGGGGATCCGACTGAGCTGACCAGCCGTGACTTGGCTGCAAGCCTGGTCCACGTGCAAGAGGTGAGAGGGCAGCTTGTCCCCCATCAAAATCACTCCATGTGTGTGCACACAGGTACACAGCACATACATACACACACACACAAGTACATGTGCACACGTGTTCACATACACACATGTGCTCTTACACAGGGATGCAGCCAAGGATAGATGCACACAGGCACATGTACAGATGCACACACATCCACATGGACACATCATGCATGTGCACACATGTTCACATACACATGAGTGCACTTACACAGATGCACTCAAGGATAGGTACACACGTGCACATGTAAATATGCACATACATCCACGTAGACACACAGTGCATGTGCACACCTATTCACATACACACATGTGCTCTTACACAGGGATGCAGCCAAGGATAGAGGCACGCATGCACATTTACGGATGGACACACCATGCATGTGCACACATGTTCACATACACATGTGTGCACTTACACAGATGCACTCAAGGTAGGTGCATACCTGCACATGTACAGATGCACACACACATCCATGTGGACACACAGTGCACGTGCACACCTGTTCACACACATACATGTGCACTTACACAGATGCAGCCTAGGATAGGTGCACCCATGTACAGATGCACACACACACATCCTTGTGGACACACCGTGCATGTACACACCTGTTGACATACACACTTGTGCACTTACATAGATGCACCCAAGGATAGGTGCACACCTGCACGTGTACAGATGTACACACACATCCATGTGGACACATAGTGCATGTGCACATGTGTGGGTCTACTCATATGTCCCATGTATGCGTGGGAGAACGTACACATGCACACGCTCATGCAGGGGCTCACGTGCACGTGGCAGCCCCACCAGACCCCTCGTTCTTACACAGATGGCGTGTGCCAGCGCCCTCCTGCCGCCCCTCCTCGTGGCTCCAGCTCAGCCCAGGGAGAGCTGTGGTGGCTGTCCGGGAGTCCCTTGGTGAAGGCGCCTGCCAGGCACTGGGCAATTGCTTGTTCGCCTGTCTGGCTTCCTCCCAGTCAGGGAGCCTTCTCTCCAATGGGGTCCACTGGAAGAGTGGTGTTGCTGATCCGCCTGTCCCAAACAGCTCTCCCAGTGGGGGGTCTTGTAGAAATGAAGACCCACGAGTCTTCCAGGACTCGGAACCCACCCACTCGTCCAGCCAGCATTTCCTGGGGAAGACCTGGAGCCCCCTTTGCACCGTGCCGACGGGCATTCTTCCTCTCTGCCCTACCTGTGCTTGCTTTCTACTGGCAGGATGACCCCTTCCGCCAGGGGTCTCTGAGGTTGACAGGGGTCCGGCTCCTGCCACACGTGATTTCACCCTGCTCATCCCGGCCCTTGACTTCCCAGATCTTCAGGTTCTGAGCTGTCAACTGTGCCTGGCTGTCACTGAATGTCCGCGTGACTCTCCTGACAGTCCTAAAAGTCAAGGTGAAAGGACAAGGGACACTAGGTGCAGCAGACCTCCCTGACTGAGCTTCGCCCTGGGTTTCACATCTGTCCCATGAGGTGCAGGATCTGCCTTGTTTTCAGACGAGAAGCCAAGACGCAAACTCAAGAGCCTTTCCTGCCTCAGCACAGCCATCATCTGCAGACCCTGGCCGGTTCCAAGAGCTGCCTTTCCCTAGCTCACCATCAACCACGAAATTCAAAGCCCAAAGAAAGGGGGAAGTCAAGAGTGTGTGATGTGGTGTCTGTGGATGTGGTGCTGTGTGCCCCCATGTGTCCTGACTGCTGCTCATGGCACCACTAGGCTGCGCTGCCCGCACCTGGCGTGAGCGCTCCATGCCATGAGCCACCGTACCTTGCTCCTGCCCCAGCCCGTGTTCCCCGTATTGCCCCTTATAAATGACCCCATGGTGAAGACCGCACACTGAGGTCAGAATTCAAGACCAATTTCCTTAGGCTACAACCCTAGGAGTAGATTCATGTAGGAAAAATCCCTCAACTTTTTTTATGATACAATTATGGGCTCTTTTTATTCCAAAATCTCTCTAAAAGTACGGATCTGTGCCTTCGTTTCACCACATCATTCCTCTGTCAAATTTGGCAATATCTGCTAAAACGACTGAAGGCAACCTCCTCTGACCCCACAGCCAGGTCACTTCCCAGGTCCTCAAGGTTTGCCCGTGTCCCCAGCACTAACGAGGCTTGACAGTAGCATCAATGTGACAAAACACCAGAAATAGCCAAGTGCCTTTCACTGAAGACTGATCAAGTAAATCAGGTCACATTTCTCAGGTGGAATATTGAGCAACTGGAGCTCAAGGCCATGCCACGTCCCGACACGGGACTTGGAACAATGATTCTATCACGATCTTATTGTGCAAAGCCTCAATAATCTCCATGTCCAGAAAGAAAGGACGTCATGAAGCTATGACCCACGTAGGGCCGGAAGGAGAAGGGCATGTCCTAACAGGAAGGTGGGAATTTTTCTTCTAGAATTTTCTTCCTATAGTAAGCAATTCCTCTTCCAGTGGTCAGCACATGAATTAGGTCTAGTTTCTGCATATATTCTGGAAATACGCCAGTCAGAGGCAGGAGTCTCCCATGTTCCCTCTGCTCAGGAGAACCAGCAGCTGTGGGTTCAGAGCAGGGTTCCCAGGGCAGAGCCCCAGGAGCACCCCAAGCAAGTCACTCACCTTCCTTCTGGGTTCCCCAACCAGCCCCACGGGAGCACCAGGGTCACGGTGTGGACGACTTGCCGCAGTGCTTAGGACCCTGGGCCACACCTGGGGCACAGGCCTACCCCACGAATGTGGGACCCTCCTCCGCCTCCTGCCACAGAGCCTCAGACTGTTCACACAGGGTCAGCCGAGGACAGTCCAGTGACGGCAGGATTTCAGAGAGCAACTCTGCTCTGCTGGCGGATGTCAGCTTTGATTGACGCTTTCCACCTGCTGGTAGCAACAAGCACAGTTGTTTTGAACATGCTTTTTAAAACTTCGTTGTGGACATTTCAGATGGGGGTCAGAAGTCCTTTGGGTGCGATTGGGAGTGTCTGCATGAGGACAGGAAGGTAGGGCTGCTCCTCGGTGCCTGGAGGAGCCCTGTGGCTCGGCCAGGCTTGGCTTCACGCACTTCACATACCGAGATTCTGTGGCCGTTTTTTAGAAAAATGTCTGCTAGGATATCCTCAGGTGACACCTTGACGAGACTGAAGGTCACGGAAGTCCATGCGGGTTGGGGAGTACTTGGGGYAGGGCCAAGTTGCTCTGGCGGTCCTAGCAGGCAGGAATGACAGCCGTGTGCAGGAGCCGGTGAGAGCTCGCCTCTTGTTTCTGACAGACGCTTGGTCTCTGTGTCTCTGTATGTGGATGCAGCCATCAGTATAATCCTATTAAATGCTTACTGTTGTCGTTAGCCCTGCCTGGCTCATGCTGTACTGACTGCCTGCAGTGTAGGGGGTGAGAAGCGCGTCCAAGTCTGTAACCATGCAGTCGAAAAAGTCTGTTTTCTTCCTAAGCTGAGTGGAGCAATTTTGTTGGCATACATCGAACAGAAGACCTGAGTTCAATAGTTCTGTAAAAGTTGGTGGGACACAGTAGCAACATGATCACACCCATGTGAATGCACTTCCCCTCCGGGGTCTCACTGGGTCTAGTGCATTTCTGCATTAATTAAACCAGTGCACAATTAATTACAGAAAAGAACAGCAAACATTCCCCCTGGCTGAGTACCCGGGTTTCAGCTCTAACACGGATACTCTGTGTTGAATCAGGTGGAAACGGCTACGGATTCGGACACGGAGAGCCGAGGCCTGCGGGAGTACCACTCTGTTGGAGTGCAAGTAGAAGACGAAAAACGGTAACTCAGCTCTTCAGGATAGGGGTGCCCCAAGCACTGCACGTGACCCTGGCCGCCCAAGCCAGCCCACTGCTTCTGCAGCTACTGCCGCTCTGGAGACAGGGCCCTGTGGCAGCCCTTTGCCATTTACTTCACTGAACACTAGTTATCCTGCTCCTGTATCTTGTCCTCAGGGGCGGGAATAGGSCACCCACGAGGACAAAGTCCCTTAGAAGGAAGAAAAGGGGATGAGGGTGCAGCACSTGCTTCTCACCTCTTCAAACGGAGTGAGAGTGGGCACTGAAGACCCCAGAAGGCTGTGTGGTCTCTCACCGATAAGTTCCTGCCATTGTGCAACCACTGGCAGTGTTAGCACATGTCCAGAAGAGTGCACACTGTCAGCAGAGGGAACAGGCTTCATAGAGTCGCACCTCACTCTTCAGCACCTATGGGCACAGTGCTGGGCTGTGTCAGCTACAAGAACAGGTTGATAGAGCCACACCTCACACTTCAGGGCCTGTGGGCACAGTGCTGGGCTGTGTCAGCTACAAGAACAGGTTCATAGAGCCACACCTCACACTTCAGGGCCTGTGGGCACAGTGCTGGGCTGTGTCAGCTACAAGAACAGGTTGATAGAGCTCACACCTCACACTTCAGGGCCTGTGGGCACAGTGCTGGGCTGTGTCAGCTACAGGAACAGGTTGATAGAGCTCACACCTCACACTTCAGGGCCTGTGGGCACAGTGCTGGGCTCTGTCAGCTACAGGAACAGGTTGATAGAGCTCACACGTCACACTTCAGGGCCTGTGGGCACAGTACTGGGCTGTGTCAGCTACAGGAACAGGTTGATAGTGCCACACCTCACACATCAGGGTCTGTGGGCACAGTGCTGGGCTGTGTCAGCTACAGGAACAGGTTGATGGAGCTCATACCTCACACTTCAGGGCCTGTGGGCACAGTGCTGGGCTGTGTCAGCTACAGGAACAGGTTGATAAAGCCACACCTCACACTTCAGGGCCTGTGGGCACAGTGTTGGGCTGTGTCAGCTACAGGAACAGGTTGATAGAGCTCACACCTCACACATCAGGGCCTGTGGGCACAGTGCTGGGCTGTATCAGCTACAGGGAA